AAAAAAAAAAAAAAAAAAACCTTCAAAAACAGACTCCAACGTGAAACTGCAGAACTGGAATTAATTTGCAAACTGGACACCATCAGATTAGGCTTGAATAAATACTGGGAGTGGTTGGGTCATTACAAAACCTAAACCTAATTTCCCCAATACTAATTTCCCGCTACTGTTACTCACACCTTCTTGTCAACTGTCTGAAATGGGCCATTCTCATTACCACTTCAAAAAGTTATTTTCCCCTCCTTGGTATCCTGCTGTTAATTGATTTGTCTAGTTAAAGATTGACCTCTCACTTGTTAAGGCAACTCACATCTTTTCATGTATTTATACCTGCTCCTGTATTTTCCACTCCATGCATCTGATGAAGTGAGTTCTAGCCCACAAAAGCTTATGCCCAAATAAATTTGTTAGTCTCTAAGGTGCCACAAGGACTCCTCGTTGTTGTTGCTGTGACTGAAACAAGACATCCCTGGCAGCAAGAAATAATGGATAGACAGGTGTCCAGTGGGGATTACAGATATCATTAAGATCCTAAAAACTGCACCTATTGTTTTATAACTTTAAAAACCGAAAGCTGGGCATGTGCCCATGCAGCCACATGTTCCCATGACTGTTACTCTTAGCCTCCTTCTTCTTCTGTTTCTTACACATACTTGGTTGGATAACCTTAACCGAGATGGCAGGCTCTTTAGGGAAGAGTTAGTCTCTTACTTTATCGGCAAAGCACTTTGCAAAATGGGGTGTTGATCTGATTGGATATTACCGTAATCAGGGCCGGCGCAACCCATTAGGCGACCTAGGTGGTCGCCTAGGGCGCTACAATTTGGGGGGCAGCGACCGCGGTGGTATTTCGGCGGCAGGACTTTCCACTGCCTCTGTGGGGGGCGGCATTTCGGGGCGGGACCTTCCGCCGCCTAGGGCAGCAGAAAAGCTGGCGGCGCTCCTGACCATAATACAAGTAAATAAAATACTATACCATCAACAATATTAATACTAAGAGAAGAGGCCCTTTTTGGATGGAGCAGAGCAGCAGAACAAGCTTCTGTGGGATAATCCCTTGGGCTGCTACTGTTTCCATCTTTGAAGTGGTTACTGATCCACAGGATACTAAGGGTACGTCTACACTACCTGCCGATCCCCGATTGCTCTGCTGTCGACTCTGGAACTCCACCACAGCGAGAGGCGGAAGTGGAGTCAACAGGGGAGTGGCAGCCGTCGATCCCGTGCCGTAAGGACTCGAAAGTAAGTGATTCTAAGTCGATCTAAGATACGTCGAGTTCAGCTACGCTATTCTCGTCGCTGCACATCTTAGATCGATCCCCCCCCCCCAGTGCAGACCAGGCCTAAGAGCAGGGCTGAACTCCAGGGAGCCGCCAACCTGTGTTTAGAGCAGCTATGTTTCTGTGTGGGGGTGACAGGAGGGCTCTCCCTGGGTCTGGGGAGGGAGCAGGCAGGTGAAGGAGATACAATGGACATACAGTTGGTGTTGGCATAGAGGGCCCGAAGGGAGAAGCCACTCAGAGTCAGTTCCCTCAGCTGATTCCGCTCACAGTGCAGCTGCTCCAGACTGCCAAGAAAGCTCAGATCCAGGTCAGTCAGCTGATTGTCTCGCAAATCCATGTGGGTCACAGATTTGTTCCCCTCCAGGCTGTCAACAGATAATCTCCTCAGGTGGTTCAGCCTAAACATTCAGAGATAAGAGATAAAGGATCAGAGAAAAGGACATTGAACTGGTTTTTTGTTTTTTTGGGGAGGTGGGGGACAGAGTGACATGATGGCAGGAGGGAGAAGGGGGGAACAGACAGGCTGGAGACTGCGCCAAAAGGAGGGACATGAGGGAGTCTGGAGACCAAACCCAGGATAGAGGAGTGGAGGGGTGAGTGAGGTAGAGGAAGGGTCCTGGTGAAGGGGGATTTTCTGGGAGGGGTACAGACAGTACAGTCCCTACGTCTGTTCACCTACTATTCATTGTTGCATTAAATATTATTGGCTCTACTCAGTTTCTGAGCACCTTTAACAGTCAGGAGATGCTGAGGGCAGCTTCCAGAGGCTAAAAGACAAAAGGCCTGGTTCTGGGACAGAGAGCTGTATTGTGCGTGGTCACACAGGAACCTGGGAAGGCACTTGCTATACATGTTAATTCAGCTATAAGATTTTCATGTCTCTTAACTGATCAGAAGTCTCACTATGTCTTTCTAAGGATGAAGTAAGAACACAACCACCCAGGATGCCTACTAAGACATGCTAGAGCATTTATACAGCTTTCTTTGCTGGAAGTGGGGTTGAGGAGCACTCTGGCTGATGTATGTCAAAGCAGCTAGAGTCCACTTACCTAAGATCCACACATCTGATGTGGCTCATCCTGTTCAGCACCCCAAGGTTCAGGGTTTCCAGCTGGTTCCCTGCCATGGCCAGTTTGTCCAAGGCAGTGAGTTTCTCACAGACCACTGGCACCTCACTGAAGTTGTTGAAGGAAAGCCCGAGGGAGCAGAGCTGCTGCAGGTGTCCCAGCTCTTCTGGCAAAGATGTGAGGAAATTCCCATCAAGACATAAGGTCTGGAGACTGTGGCAGGCAAAGGGAAAAAGAGAAACATTCAGGGATGGAGAATTGAGTAACCTGTTTAACATTGTCAGCGAATTTATACACTGGCTAATTACAGCTTATTATTTCCCATAGCTAACTGTGACTTGTTTCTAGAGTTGTACGGTTATTACATGATTATTTATTATTCAGCTAATATGCTTGAGTTTTAAAATTGGATGTGTAAAATATAAATGCTCCGGATTAATATTTCACTTGTGTAGTTAAGCTTCTAGTTATATGAATCAGTGGAAGTTAGCATAAGCAAAGCGTAATTACATTGTAACTGTAGAGTATTTATTTGACAGGCAAGATGGGTGAAGTAACAATATTGGACCAACCTCTGCTGGTGAAAGAGACAAGCTTTAAGAGCTTACACAGAGCTCTTCTTCAGCTCTGGGAAAGGTTCTCAGAAGCCATGTCTACACTATACAGTTTTGTCAACAAAAGTCAGCTTTCGTCAACAAAACAGTGGAGGTGAAGACACTGCAATGCTCCTCCTGCCAATTTAACTCTCCTGCTACGCTGACATAATAAAAACACCTGGGTGAGAAGCATAGAGCTTTTTACGATAAAGGCAGAGCGACACAATGTCAATGTAGACACTGCATTGCTTATGTCACCCTAAGTGACCTCCAGGTAGTGTCCCACAATGCTCATCATGACTGCTCTGGTTTGAACTCCACTGCCCTGCAGCCAGGTACACAAGCATGAGTCCCTCCCCCCTTAAAGCCCCGGAATTTTTGAAATTCCTCTTCCTGTTTGCTCGGTGTAGATAGCTCACATAGCATCTTCCCAGCTGCCCATGGTGGGTACCTGCAGCAAACACTCCCACCTGGAGTACACTGGAGTTGTCGGATCTGTGGGGAGAGGAGGCTGTGCAGTTGCAGCTCTGCTCCAGCCAAAGGAACTTTGATAACTATGGGCAAATTACTTGTGGCATGGAGCTTAAGGGGTACGAGAGGGACACGCAGCAGTGCCGTGCAAAGATCAAGGAGCTGAGGCAGGTGTACCAGAAGGCCAGTGAGGCCAATCGCCAATCCGGTGCGTTGCCAAAGACATGCCACTTCTACAAGGAGCTGCATGCCATCCTCAGCAGCAACCCCACCTCCACCACCAAGACCCTTGTGGATACTTTGGGGAGGCTGGAAGCAGAAGAGTGAATCCCGAGGATGAAGTGGTGGACAAGGAAGTGGAGTTGGAGGAGGATGGGGGACAGGCAATAGAGATGTCTGGGTGCATGGCAAGCCAGGACCTCTTTTAACTCCAGGGAGGTCTAGGTAGCCCCAGCACTCTGGCACACCTGATGCAGGAGAGGGGAGCTTCAGTAAATACTCATTGTGCTTTGATACTGTAGGAAGAAATGAGGTAGAGCTATATTATTTTTTCAAAGGGTAGAAGAGGGATAGAAATAACCAACAGTAGCACTGTTTGCATCTGCTTCTCATTTCCCTGTGCACCTAGACAGAGGGGACCCGATGGAAAAGTTTGCTGATGCACACTGAGATGTGCCAGGAATTCTCCATACTGATCTCTAGGAAACTTTCGTGGAGGTAACTCTGCAATCCTCTGCCAATGGTTCCTTGGGAGGGCTGCCTTATTTCTTCCCCCGTGGTAAGTAACTTTGCTGTGCTAATCGGCAATTACTTCTACAGGCACCAAACAGGCGAGCAGCATACAGACTCAGCCTGCAGCCACACGCATGTAGGAGCTGTACCCTTGCATCCCTGGTTACCCTGAGGAACGAGATATCAGCTTCTAATCACCCTCGCCTTTGGAAAACGGTGCCAGTATTCAGAATAGTGTCCCTAGGCGTTTGTAGTCATCCCCCTCTGAAACTCACCCGCCCTTTGTCCCATCTTGCCTCTTTCCCCCTGTGCCAAACCCACCATGGTTAGGGCTCTCGCTGTGCTGTGTGCCTGCTATGGGAAAGTGAGAAAGTGGTGTATGTAACTTGAAAGGAATTAAGGCTGTGAGTGCACTCATAATAGTGCCTCTGTTTATTGTTTCTTTAACTTCTTCAGATGGGGCCTTGAGGGTCTATTCCTGCACACTAGCTGAGCGGCACTGTCTGATAAGGAGATGAACCAGGATGAGTAAGGAAGAAATGTTCAGGGAGGTGCTGCAATTGTCTGATGCTGCTGATAGCGAGCAGAGAGCATTGAGAGAGGCTATCAACGAAAAATTGAGAATGGACAGCCAGGAGAGGAAACAGGGGTAGGAGTGGATGATACAGCTGCTTGAGGGCCAAACGGATTTGCTGAGGTCCCTGATTGTGCTGCAGGCAGAACACATCCATGCTTGTCTCCCCCTGCAAGCCAAACAGAAACGCCTTCTATGCCTTCCCCAAACTCTCCCCACACACCCGTTCTTCGCGTGTTCCTGGTCCGTCGCAGTACTCCATGCACTCCACCCAGGAACATGTTTCACAATGATAGCTGGACATACACCCAGCTGTGAAAGCCTCATTGTAAAAAGTGCTCTTCATTGTCATGTCCCTTGTAGGTAATAGAAATGTTTGTATAGCTGTTAAATAAAAATGTACTTATAGAAAGAAAATGAATCTTTAATGGTCTACTACACATGGTGGTTGCTGCTGAAATTCATACATAATAGCAATCACTGCATTTGCAAAGTAAAATTAATGCACACACAGCAATCATTATAAGGCTCATATTACAGCGCAAGAAAGCAATGCCTGGCTCAATTCATTACAGAAAGTCATATTACTGGGGCTCATTGTCAAAATTCTCCTTCAAAGCCTTCCTGATTTGAACAGCCCCCTGTTGAGCCCCTCTAACAGCCCTGGTATGTGGTTGCTCAAAAGCAGCTTCCAGCCAATCCACCTTTTCCCCCTAGTTTCACAAATGTTATGCAGAGCACAGCAGGCTGCTATGACCATGGGAATATTTTCCTCACTGAGGTCTAACCTGCCAATAGTGCCAGCAACCCTTTAATCTGCCAAAGGCACATTCAACGGTCATTCTGCATCTGCTGAGTCTGTTGTTGAAGCACTCCTTGCTACAGTCAAGGTTTCCAGTGTAAGGCTTTGTGAGCCACAGGAACGAGGGGTAGGCTAGGTCTCCCAGATCACAATTGGCATTTCCACTTCCCTGCTTACAGCTTTCTATGCAGGCCAGTGTTCCTGAAGATGCATGCATCATACACCTTCCCTGACCACCCTGCGCTGATGTTGGTGAAACAACCTTGGTGATCCACCAGCACTTGCAATACCCTAGAAAAGTAGCCCTTTCTGTTGAAGTATTCCATTGCAAGGTGGTCTGAGGCCAAAATGGGGATATGCATGCCATCCATTGCCCCGCCACAGTCAGGGAATCCCATTGCCCCAAAGCTATTTCCCACACATTGGGCAGAGTCACAGTCCTTTGTAACAGGAGGCAATTAATGGCCCTGCACACTTGCATCACTGCAACCCGCACAATGGACTTCCCACCTCCAAACTGATTCACAACTGATCAGTAGCAGTCTGGAGTTGCCAGCTTCCACACAGCAATCGCCACTCGCTTCTCTGCTGTGAGGGCAGCTCTCAATTTGGTGTCCTTGCACTGGAGGGCAAGCTCTGTACACAGTTCCAGGAAAGTGGCTTTGAGCATCTGAAAGGTCTGCAGCCACTACTCGTCATCCCATACCTGCATCATGATGCGACCCCGCCACTCAGTGCTTGTTTCCCAAGACAAAATATCAATGGTCCACTGTATGTAGCTGCCCCATGAATACCAACAGCAACCCTAAATTGTTTCTTTCCATGGCATGCAGCAAGGCAGACACCACAGTGTCATTATCAGATTTGCAGCTCATGAAATACTGCAGGATCAGCCGCATTGTGTTTGTAATGCTCATCGCAAGACTGGAGAGCAGTGCAGGATCCATGCTTTCAGACAGAAATGGCAGATGCACAGTTTACAGGGGCTGTTGAAAAGTGGCGCAAAACGTAGCAGGAAGCCCATGGAATGATGGGATGAAGAAAACTGCATCATGGGATGCTGAGCCCGCCCCCATGATTCACTGCGATCCCTTCCCAGAGCACCCAGCGGCAGATAGCTATCCACAATGTACTGCTCTCTCTGTCAATGCAAGAGCACCAACTGTGGATGCACTCCGCCAACACAAGGAGCGTTATGTGGACATGCAAAAGTGGTTTAATTACAGCAGTGGATGATCGCTGACCTAACTTAAGTCAACTTAACTTTGTAGTGCAGTCATAGCCAGAGTGTCACAGATAAATATCAGGTGGCACAGAGTATTTAGCATAAGTAGTAACCACATATTGTAAGAGCTCATTCCAGGTGAAGTGGCCAGTTAACACCTCACAGTCATCGGACATAGTGAGTTACAGATTGTTGTAATAAGCCATAAATCCAGTGTCTTTATTAAGACCATGATTGTTAGTGTCTAGTAAAGTTATGAATGTAAGCTCCCAGGCTTGGCTTTGGAAGGTGATTGTGACAGGGCATCACCCCACTCCTGCCTCTTTTCTAGCCACACACCACTCAAAGACCTACTTCTGGCCAAACACCCTGTGTGCCATTTATTTACAATGTTCTCTCCTCCACCCTTACAAACTTGTGCAGCTCTGTATTTCCAATAGCATATACTCCTTAGGTGTCTTCCCACTGAGAGATTTTTCCTGGCTCTGACTCTTCAAAAGTGAAATCCCAGCAAGCTGCATGGAAACTTTTTAAAGACACCATAATAGAGGCTCAATTTAAATTTATACTTCAAATTAAAAAACATAGTAAGAGGACCAAAAAAGTGCCACCGTGGCTAAACAACAAAGTAAAGGAAGCAGTTAGAGGCAAAAAAGACATCCGTTAAAAAGTGGAAGTTAAATCCTAGTGAGGAAAATAGAAAGGAGCATAGACTCTGGCAAGGGAAGTGTAAAAATATAATTAGGAAGGCCAAAAAAGAAATGGGAAGAACAGCTAGCCAAAGACTCAAAAAGTAACAGCAAATTTTTTTTAAGTACATCAGAAGCAGGAAGCCTGCTAAAGAACTAGTAGGGCCACTGGATATCAAGATGCTAAAGGAGCACTCAAGGAAGATAAGGCCATTGCGGAGAAACTAAATGAATTCTTTGCATCGGTCTTCACAGCTGAAGATGTGAGGGAGATTCCTAAACCTCAGCCATTCTTTCTAGGTGACAAATCTGAGGAACTATCCCAAACTGAGGTGTCATTAGAGGAGGTTTTGCAACAAATTGATAAATGAAACAGTAATAAGTCACCGGGATCAGATGGTATTCCCCCAAGAGTTCTGAAGGAATTCAAATGTGAAATTGCAGAACTAATAACTGTAGTATATAACTTATCATTTAAATCAGCTTCTGTACCAGATGATTAGAGGATAGCTAATGTGAAACCAATTTTTAAAAAAGGCTCCAGAAGCAATCCAAGCAATTACAGGCAGGTAAGCCTAACTTCAGTACTAGGCAAACTGGTTGAAACTACAGTAAAGAATAGAATTTTCAGACACACAGATGAACATAATTTGTTAGGGAAGAGTCAACATGGTTTTTGTAAAGGGAAATCATGCCCCCCCAATCTACTAGAATTCTTTGAAGGGGTCAACGAGCATGTGCACAAGGGCAATCCAGCAGATATAGCATACTTAGATTTTCAGAAAGCCTTTGACAAGGTCCCTCACCAAAGACTCTTAAGCAAAGTAAGTTGTCATGGGATAAGAGGGAAGGTCCTCTCGTGGATCAATAACTGGTTAAAACATAGCAAACAAAGGGTAGGAATAAATGGTCAGTTTTCAGAATGGAGAGAGGTAAATAGTGGTGTCCCCCATGGGTCTGTTCTGGGACCAGTACTGTTCAACATATTCATAAATGATTTGGGAAAAGGGGTAAACAGGGAGGTGGCAAAATTTGCAGATGATACAAAACTACTCAAGATAGCTAAGTCCAAAGCAGACTGCGAAAAGTTGCAAAGGGATCTCATTAAACTGGGTGACTGGGCAACAAAATGGCAGATGAAATTCAATGTTGATAAATGCAAAGTAATGCACACTAGAAAACATAAGCCCAGCTTATGCACATAAAATGATGGGGTCTGAATTAGCTGTTACCACTCAAGAGAGAGAGATCATGGAATCACTATGGATAGTGATTTGAAAACATCCACTCAATGTGTAGTGGCAGTCATAAAACCTAACAATGTTTGGAATCATTAAAAAAGGGATAGATAATAAGACAGAAAATATCATATTGCCTCTATATAAATCCATGGTATATCCACATCATGAATACTGTGTTCAGATCTGGTCGCCCCCTCTCAAAAAAAGATATATTGGAATTGGAAAAGGTACAGAGAAGGGGTATGGAACAGCTTTCATATGAGGAGAAATCATTAAGACTGGGACTTTTTGGCTTGGAAAAGAGACGACTAAGGGGGGATATGACAGAGGTCTACAAAATCATGACTGGTGTGGAGAAAGTAAATAAGGAAGTGTTATTTACTCCTTTTCATAACACAAGAACAAGGGGTCACCAAATGAAATTAATAGGCAGCAGGTTTAAAACAAATAAAAGGAAGTACATGTCTTCACACAATGCACAGTCAACTTTTAGAACTCAGTGCCAGGGGATGTTGTGAAGGCCAAGACTATAACAGGGTTCAAAAAAGAACTAGATAAGTTCATGGAGCCTAGATCCATCAATGGCTATTAGCCAGGATGGGCAGGGATGCCAAACCACATTCTAAAGTGTCCCTAACCTGTTTGCCAGAAGCTGGGAATGGGTGACAGGGGATGGATCACTTGATGATTACCTGTTCTGTTCACTCCCTCTGAAGCATCTGGCATTTGCCACTGTTGGAAGGTAGAATGCTCGGCTAGATGGACCATTGGTCTGATCCAATATGGCCATTCTTATGTTGTAAGACTCTCAGTCTCTTCCCCCCACTTGGCACTTCCTTCCTGTACCTTTTCTACTTTTTGGGTTAATTAGCCTTGTAGCTCTCTCCAGTCCATCCCCAATTGCTCAACTGGACAAAGTTTTGCCCCTCAGGTTTGCTCCGGGGTGATTTAATTGGTGATCCAGTTATCAGAGTGTTGGTACAACTACTGTTGCCCAGCACTGTCATAGTACTCTGAAGGTTTCCTTTACGGATAAGAACTGACAGGTCAGATACGAAGTGATTGCTTTGTGAAAACAGTTCATCCACCGGTGATCTGGTGTTTTTGTCTTTCAGCATCTTTCTGTGAGTTCATGCGAGAGCATAGTGATTGTCTCATTTCACCCACACACTTGTTAATGGAGTATTTAATGCACCGGATAAGGTACACCATACATTGTGATAGGCATGTGCAGGACCCATGTATCTTGAAAGGTGTATTGTGTTCATCATCATAGCAGTGGAGATATGTCTACAGGTTTTGCATGTTACGGCAGGATTTGGTGCTGCTTTGAGTTGGTGCGTTCAGGTTAGTGCGGAGGTTTCCTCTGATGATGACAACTAAGTCTACCTATGTTAGGTCAACGTACAGCCACTGCAGTAATTACTGCAATTCTTCATGTCCACACTACCCTTCTTCTGTCGGTGGTGTGCGTGCTCACCAGGAGCACTTGCCTCAACTTACGGGGGACAGTTTGGGGGCGGCTGAGAGGCCGGGCTCCCAGCTGGGAGCTTGGTGCCAAGTTGACAGGCAATGTAAGTCACGCAGAGTCTACACAAACACTGCGTCACTCTAACTATATCAACCTCAGCGTTACAACTCTTATATAGGTGGAGTGATTAAGTTGGTGTAGTGAGGGAATTACATTAGCAGGAGCAACGCTGTAGTGTAGATACTTAAAAAGTTAGGTCGATGTAAGCTGCCTTATATTGACCTAACTCTGTAATGTAGATCTGGCCATATTTATAGTGGAAAACAATAAGAAGTTTATCATCAAAAATTCAAGCAATAGTGAGTAAGCGGAAGCAAACGGTTACATATAAAACAAAATAACAAAAGACTTTCTAGAAACTAAACTTAACTAACAGGCTAGCTTTCTGTCTAAAGTTTATCTCACCACCAAAGTCCTCTGCAGCATTTTCAACCAACGTTGGGTGAGATGCCATTTTCAGGAACGTAAACGCACTGTCTGTTTACTTCCTGGGTCCAGAATAAGAGGGTGTATTCTTTACCGTCTACCTATACTCCCCATAGTTCATTGACTGTATTCAGAGACTGTATAACCACCTGTAATTTGTTTTTCCTGTGTGCTCCTTCCCTGCTGACTTCACATCTCTTTGATAACTTTGTATGTAAAAGGGCATCCATTTATAATGCTTAATTTACTCGTCTGACAGAAAACCTGTTTTTTCACTCCTGCTGGTGATTCGTTCCTTAATACAAACTCTAAGAATATATTTTCAGTGTATATATACACACACAACTCCTTACACAGTGTCACGGAGTGTGGGGGGACACAAGCCCCTGCACCCCCGGCTTCCTGCGATTCACCATGACTCTCAGCCAGCCAGTAAAGCAGAAGGTTTATTTAGACGACAGGAATACAGTCCAAGACAGGTCTTGCAGGCACAGACAACAGGACCCCCCTCGGGTAGGTCCATCTTGGGCTCCCAGGGCGCCCCAGCCCCCTTGGGAGGTCGGAGCCCCACCTGCCTCCCAGCCAGCTCCCCAGCCAGCTCCTGAAACTCTGCCTTCAGCGACCCCTCCCACAGCCTTTGTTCAGTTTCCCAGGCAAAGGTGTCACCTGCCCTCTAACCCCTTCCTGGGTTCTCATGTTACATGCTCAGGTATTCTCCATCGGTCAGTCTCCCATCCCCCAATGCAGACTATCCTAGCCACACTCCCCTGTCAGCATTCAAGGACCACAGTAAGAACAGTCCCAGTTCGTCACACACAGTATCTGTACATACATTTCATAACTATATTAATAACCAGTGTGATCCTGGCTTTCATGTAAGCCCTCACATGACATTTTTTAGTGCACCAGAATGTATGTACCAGAATCAGGACATTTCTGTAACACATTGGTCAGTTGGCATTAAGGCCTCCTTGGGTCATACTGCGAAAGTCACTCTTGGGTTCTCAGTAAGGGTCACAGAGCAAGAGGACCTGTCTCACCAGTGATGCCTTTACTCTGTCTGCACCCAAACCAAGACATAGGGCAAGTCTATAACCACAGATGAGAGGTGTTTAAGGGCCAAGACAAAAGTCAGATAACTCACTTGAACAGGTTGCCAATCTGGCTTGGCAGGTGATGAAGCCCATTACAGGAAATGTTGAGTTCAGTCAGATTGGAGATCTCACACAGTAATATAGGAAGCTTCCCCAGCATATTATGGGACAGGTTCAGGCCCTTCAGCTGAGAGAACCTAAATGTCAGGTATACAAATTATTCATAAAGCATAGTGGTTAGTGACAAATACACATACAAGGACAAGCGCAAAGGTTCTCTGAAGTAGTCCAAGTACTTTCTTAAATATGACATCCCCTTTTCTCAAACCAGCTATAGCATGGCATTTCCTGTACCAAACAGGCTATAATCCATCAATAATATATACCTAAGGCTAAGATTTTGTCACGGACATTTTTAGTAAAAGTCACAGACAGGTCACAAGCACAAAAGAAAAATTCACGGAAGCCATGACCTGTCCGTGACTTTTACTAAAAATATCCCTGACAAAATGGGGATCTGCAGTTCCCCACACTGCCTGAAGTGGGACAGCTGCACAGGGGCTAGGAGCCGCCTGCAGCAGCTAGGGGGCCCGTGGCAGCAGGGAGCTCAGGGGTTCCCCTGCCACAGCCAGGAGCTGCGGGGTTTCCTGCTGCCTGCAGCAGCCGGAGGGTCAGGGGTTCCTCCGCCACTGGCGGCTCTGGAGGCTCCTGCTGTGGCCATGAGATCGGGGGTTTCCCCGCCACTGCCACGAGCTTGGGAGTACCCTGCCATCTGCGGTGGCTTGGAGCTCCGGGGGCCACCCAGAGGCGGCGGGGTACTTCGCGGCTCCCTGCAACTCCTGACCACTGCAGGCTGAAGTCACGGAGGTCGCTGGAAGTCAGATTCCGTGACTTCTGCAACCTCTGACTAAATGGTAGCCTTATTCATAACATTACTTCTGCTCTATATTGGGTAAGACAAGAGAATTCTAAAGTTAGGTCAACCCAGCTATGTTGCTCAGGAGTGTGAAAAATGCACAGCTAGGTAGTTAAGCCGACCTAAACCCTGGTAGACATCTCTAGGTCAATGGAAGAATTCTTCGGTCGAACTGGCTACTGCCTGTCGGGGGGAAGATTTACTACAGCAACACGAGAACCCCTCCCTTTGCTACATTGAGTGTCTACACTGAAGTGCTGTAGCAGTGCAGCTCCAGAGTTTCTAGTGAAGACAGACTAAGAGTTACACACACTCCCATCTCTTTAAACTCAGAAGCAAAGCAGACAATATCTGTCTGCTAGATAAACACCTTGGATTAGGGACTATAAACATTAGAACAGGAGATTAATTAGCAATTTAAAATAATTTCTTCCAACAACAGTGTGTCTCATCTGAAGGATTTTCATAGATTCATAGATTCTAGGACTGGAAGGGACCTCGAGAGGTCATCGAGTCCAGTCCCCTGCCCGCATGGCAGGACTAAATACTGTCTAGACCATCCCTGATAGACATTTATCTAACCTACTCTTAAATATCTCCAGAGATGGAGATTCCACAACCTCCCTAGGCAATTTATTCCAGTGTTTAACCACCCTGACAGTTAGGAACTTTTTCCTAATGTCCAACCTAGACCTCCCTTGCTGCAGTTTAAGCCCATTGCTTCTTGTTCTATCCTCAGAGGCTAAGGTGAACAAGTTTTCTCCCTCCTCCTTGTGACACCCTTTTAGATACCTGAAAACTGCTATCATGTCCCCTCTCAGTCTTCTCTTTTCCAAACTAAACAAACCCAATTCTTTCAGCCTTGCTTCATAGGTCATGTTCTCAAGACCTTTAATCATTCTTGTTGCTCCCTGGACCCTTTCCAATTTCTCCACATCTTTCTTGAAATGCGGTGCCCAGAACTGGACACAATACTCCAGCTGAGGCCTAACCAGAGCAGAGTAGAGCGGAAGAATGACTTCTCGTGTCTTGCTCACAACACACCTGTTAATACATCCCAGAATCACGTTTGCTTTTTTTGCAACAAACAAAAGGATGGGGTGGAGGATTTCAAATGTGGGTTGAAAGTCCTCATTTCAGTAAGTCTACCTTCAACGTACCATTTGAGGGTGGTAAGCGACAAAGGTGGGACAGGAAAGCAGGAAATGAAACTGTTTAGCCACCAGATTAACTAGGGCCTTGAATGAATTTGGTGAAAGGCCAAGAGAAAAAGGTGTTTGGTGTAAACCAGGCACATCAAAAGAAACCTCAAAAGGCATAAACAGGGCTGTAAAGGGGGAAGCCCAGAGGCACTGTCTCTGAGGCCACATTCCACACTAGGAAAAGTGAATTGCTAAACTAAAGTTATTCACTGTAATTGGAGTTCTTTTAAAATGGACTCTACATTTTCACATTCACAGGGTGCACAGCTGGTGCCACTCTGATGGCACAATGTTTCATAGCAGTACTCACTGGAGTGCTCTCCTGTCCCTGGTTGTGGTGGAATGGTATTACTACTTTGGGAAGAAATTTAGGATGGGGACCATAGACACCAGCTTCCTCTGGGCCCAGGTGTTGCTCAACCCCCTGCTCCGCCCCAGGTCCTGCCCCCCACTTGCTCCCTTCCCCCAAGTCCCCAAACCCATCTCACCCCTTCCCCCAAGTCCCCACTCCCACCCTGCCTCTTCCCACCTCCTCCCCTAAGGGTGTACCGTCCCTGCTCCTCCCAGAGCCTCCTGCACACCGAGAAACATCTGACTATGGCAGGCGGGAGGCGCTGGGATGGAGGGGGAGGAATTGAACAGCAGGGATGGATGGGAGGTGCTGGGGGTGGGGGAAGGAGAGCTGGCTACCAGTGTGTGCTAAGCACTCGCTAATTTTTTTTCCACGGCTGCTCCAGGGCTGGAGAGCACCCACAGAGTCAGCACCTATTGTGGGGATAGAGAACCACTTTATTCTTGTGGAAAATAATGAATGACAAATCAGCGATGAGCGCTTGTATTTCACTTACTTTTCTACCAGATGTGATTGCTATAACAAAAGCTGTCTTTAATTGAAAAGTGAAATAGGGAACATTTCCCCAAGGTTCAAAGGAAGGTTTCACAAGCCGAATAAACACTAGGTTGAGGTCCCAAGTTGGTGCTGGTTCTTTGACTGGAGGGTAAACATTCATTAGTTCCTTCACAAATCTTAGCTGTGTCATAGGTAAATACAGTCTTATGATCAATGAGGATGTGGTGTGCAGAAATAGCTGCCAAGTGCACTTTGACAGATGATCTAGAGAGTCCTTATAATTTCAAATGGAGCAAGTACGCCAGTATGGACAGAATGAAGGCTGATGCTGAATCCAGGTTATTTGCCCAAAATTGAAAATATCTTTTCCGTTTGAGATAATAGCATCTACAGATTGACTGTTTTAATAGCATCTGTTGGACACTGTCTGAAGAGGACTTTTCAAGGTCTGTCAAAGTCCTCTGGCCTATGCTGTCAACAGAAGACCGTGTGATCTGGGTGGATATCTGACCGTTCTGCTGGGTCAGCAGATCTGTGGCTACAGGGAGAGACAGAATCCTTTAGATAGATGAAAGAGGCCTGGAAATCACTCACTCAGGCTGGGGCAATCACAATTATTCTGGTCTTGTCCTATGTTTTCTTTAGAATTCTTTGAATGACAAGAAATTGGGGGGTGGGAGGAAGCACAGACGAGATCTATTTCCCCAGTCGAGCAGAAATGCATCCAATATGGACTGGCTGGCTGTGCCTGCTCTCGAGCAAAACCGTGGGCCATCTTGTAAACAGGTCTCTCTCTCTCTCGATACCCTCAGAGACAGAAGATTTTTGTCTACTACCAAGTTCTACAGTAACCATTTATGCTGCTCTCTTCATGTCACTGCTCAAATGATCTGCAAGGTCTTTGCCACAAGATGTATAGAGATATGAGATAATTAATGTGCCGGATGCACCAGTTTCATAATGCCACAGCTGCTTTGCACAGTTGACTGGAATGAGCTCCTCCTTACATGTTCACATAGAACACTTCTATTGTGTTGCCCATGACCACTTGGGACCACTTTGTCTTGTAGATGTGGAAGAAAGGTTTTGAGTGTCCACTGAATTTCTCTGATTCATGGACACTGATATACAGATTCTTTCCCCAGAGATTCCAATGGCCCCGAATAGCCAGGTTATTGAAGTGAGCTCCCTATCCCAAACTGGAACCACTGGAAGTGACTGTAGCTGATAGGACTGGGGAATTGAACATTACCCCTTTTAGAACTCTGCTGCATCTCTCACATAAGGGATAGGAGTACTTCCCTGGCAACTATTTTATAAACATGCTATATTAAGCAAATAATCTTTGCTAGCCAAAGCTGAAGCCGAAGAGTTTTCATCTTGAGGCTAGTATATAGGGTTATATAGGTAACTGAAGCCATGAGGCCTGGTCCATCAGTTTGAGGATCATCATTGAGGCTACATTTTAGTCACGGCGCTTACCTGGGGGGCTCCCCGGAAGTGGCGACATCCCCCTTGCTCAGCTGCTAGGTAAAGGCATGGTCAGGCAGCTCTGCAGGCTGCCTCTGCCTGCAGGCACCGCCCCTGCAGCTCTCACTGGCTGGGAACCACGGCCAATGGGAGCTGCGGGGGCGGTGCCTACAGGCAGAGGCAGGCTAGTGTGCAGAGCTGCCTGGCCATGCCTCCACCTAGCAGTTGAGCGAGGGGAATATCGCCGCTTCTGGGGAGCCCCCCCAGAGCCCACCTCACCCCATCCCGTGCTACAATCCCCTGCCCCCTCTCACACCCAAACTCTGCTGCTGGGAAGAGGGAGGGGGCAAGGGCCCGAGACTGCCCCAGCAGTGGCCGGTGCACCTGGTGCAGGGGCTGCCTGAGCTGCTCCTGAGCCAGGCGCACCAAACACTACAGAAGTCATGGAGGTCACGGAAACCGTGACCTCCGTGACAATCTCTCAGCCTTCATCATCATCACTATTCGACACAAGTTCTTCTGAACTACCTCTATCACTGTACGGATTTTTTTAAAAATCCTTATTCCAGGAAGAAGACTCTGCCTCTTTGAGAATCAGAATTGTGCTAGTAAATAGGATTGTGTGTAGGAACTGCGTGCAATTTATCTTTCCCCAGTTTATTTTGAGTTCCAGTTTTTTAATTAGGGAGCAGATCTGAAACATACCTGTGGATAGGTCATCTTGTGAAAATGCTTTGATGAGCTAGTTATTTGAATAAG